TCTATGTGTGGCTGCCTGTATGGCCTTGATGGGTCTATAGTTCCAGCCCACTAACATACCATACCATACTGACTCAGACCTTGTTTGAGCCCTTACCGCCAAGTGCCAGGCTGGGCAACAACAAGTAACACTTGTACTGTACCTTGGTGTGACACAACCACGGCATTGAACCAAGGACCTTTAGCTGTCTATGCAACAGCATGTGAATAAGATAAATTGGAAGACAGCAGGCCACAACAGTTGAGCATGACAGCTCAAATAGCTTTAGGAATACCTGCATCTAGACGAAAATATATAATTTTGATAGAAACAAATAACTTCATTAAGGCACTGGCTTAGTACCCAAGGGAAGGCTGAATACCTGCCGCTCACCCATAACATACTTAAGCTTCCTCATGTTCCATGTACCGGGTACCTTACCTAATGACTCAGTGTGACTCACTGGTCAAGGCAGGGTTGGGGTGAGGGACAAGGAGTTATCTGGGATTCCAAACCAGGTGTCTTTTCTAGGGATATTGTGAATGAACGAACATACTGTATTGTTGCAACATTTATTTATTTTTTCTTTCTTATTGTCATTAATTCTGATGAAATGGGAAATTTTCAGTTTCAGCTTTTCAGTACTGTCATTTCCTTGCAGACTTGGGGATAAATATCAGCTCTGAGCAGATTTAGATAAATCTCTGTTAGATCGTGTGGCTCGAGGATAGAAATAGTGGGTTTTAAACTTCTGTAACCATTGTTTGGATTAGAAGATTTAAAATGTCAAGTTCTGCCTTTTGCAAAAAATATCTCTCATGGGCAGAAATTTATATTTCAAATATTTAATTGAGAACAACCCTTCCATGAAATTGAAATTCTGTTATAGAGGTCTCGTTTGGGGTTTGTTGGACTTTATTGTCTGAAATAACTATGCTTCTGACAGCTCCTCATCATAAATATTCCTTGGTGCATCGAAATACGTTGTATACAGGATTTATACCTTGTTGTTCTCCTGTGTACCAATATAAAGTCAGGGGATTTAATAGATAACGATTCTTCTTGTTAAGTGGCTGTCATGAAGACAATTGTATCTATCATGATAAAATATTTCTTCCTAAAACTTATGCATTGCAGAAGATTTTAAAAAATATCTACAAAATAAGATTCAATTGGGACCGAGATCTGGAATATTGCCTTTTCAGACCAAATGGCCAGTCGGACCTTGAGGGGTAATTTGGGGTATGTTCAACAGTATCAAACAGCCCTTTGTTTCACTTGTTTTGATTCAACACAACTGGGACCCTTGGATGATTAAAAAATATTTCACTGTCATGGACTTCAGTAGACATTGTTTGCAAGTCAAAGAGAATCGTATGTAAGCCACAAAACAAAATATGTCATAATAATAAGGGGAGTTTAAATTCAGTAAAGAAACTATTAAAGTATAATAATCTATCTATTTCATATTAAATTTTGAAAAATATTGTGAGAATTAAATATCGTCAAAAATAAGAATTGGTTCTATATATTTATACATAACACATTTACGTCATAGACAAAAAGCACAAAATTCACTAAAATATCAAATGCTGAACTTCATCTTCTTTTTAGGAACCCTTTCCCTTTCCCCAGCAAAAAACAGCTGTGTACAGGGGTGCATGTATTCAGACAATGACTATTGACTCTTGATTATTAAAATTTCAAATGCAAGGACACTAGAGCCAAAAATTACCACCAGAAAAAGCAAGACAACCAATCCATACTAAAGTATGCCAGTTATTAAACTGTCTGATTAGAAAAACTCTCTGGTGTACATCAAAGACAGTACTTTTATACTCAGATCTGGTACAATAATATTAATGGTTTGAGGAATTGTGATATTGATTATATATATACATCACTTACATCGGTTTCAATGAACGCTGATGCTGTAATAAACGTAAATAAACAAAAATATCCTTCTTGTCAAAAAAAATAATTAGCAGGTCTCACATGTCAGTGATGTTGGAACTGCAACTTACTTATCTTCCGTCACCAATGAAAGGTTACAGCAGAATTATTTCCATCCCATAAAACCATGTGATGTGATATTTTGTTCATGCTAGAGTAATGCTAAGAACTTTCTATGAGATTTCTGTCAACACTATCTGGCCAAAGGAAGCCCGTTCAGATATTTCACTCACTCTTAACGCATATGAAATGTCAAAGCTCTTCCAGTGGTCTGTCTCAAAGTCCCTGAACCACATTATTTTCCCTACTGCCTTGCCCTCCGCTCAAAGCTGAAGCACTAAATGAAGCAAGTCTAGATTTCCCCAGGTTCAGAATGAATCTCCCAACTCACTGGGGCTCCTTTTCAATTTAAATGGGTTTATTTGTTATTATCAAAATTATACATATTCAGAGACTAAGCATTACTCTACTCTTCAAGTAACTGTTTCTGTTTTGATAAGTTGATTGAAAGTGATACAATAATGACATGATTGCACATTCACATAACTCAACTGACTGTGTCATGAGTGTAACTGTTTATAGTTGGTATATATACTGATAGAAACTAACTAATGGAATCACAGGAAAATTAAAAAATTCCTTAAATATTTTCCAATATTCATCACCAGCTTTGAATTGTGCTGGGGGAGGAAATATGAGAATAAATAAAGGACAATGCCGTGAAGTGGTGTTCCCTTATTTGTTTCCTTCAGTATATAATAGCATAATTTTGGCCTCTACTATACAGTTGTTGTGGTGTACCAGTAGGGTACAGTACCGTATTCTGTAACAGCTGACTGTATCAGGACAGGGGTGTGGTGTACCAGTAGGGTACAGTACCGTATTCTGTAACAGCTGACTGTATCAGGACAGGGTGTGTGGTGTACCAGTAGGGTACAGTACCGTATTCTGTAACAGCTGACTGTATCAGGACAGGGTGTGTGGTGTACCAGTAGGGTACAGTACCGTATTCTGTAACAGCTGTATCAGGACTGTATCACAGGACAGGACTGTATCAGGACAGGGTGTGTGGTGTACCAGTAGGGTACAGTACCGTATTCTGTAACAGCTGACTGTATCAGGACAGGGTGTGTGGTGTACCAGTAGGGTACAGTACCGTATTCTGTAACAGCTGACTGTATCAGGACAGAGGGGTGTGGTGTACCAGTAGGGTACAGTACCGTATTCTGTAACAGCTGACTGTATCAGGACAGGGTGTGTGGTGTACCAGTACAGTACCGGTACAGTACAGGACCAGCAGGGTACAGTACCGTGATTCCGATTCTGTAACAGCCGTGACTGTATCAGGACAGGGGTGTACCAGTAGGGTACAGTACCGTATTCTGTAACAGCTGACTGTATCAGGACAGGGTGTGTGGTGTACCAGTAGGGTACAGGGTAGGGTACAGCGTGACTGTAACAGCTGACCGTATCAGGACAGGGTGTGTGGTGTATCAGTAGGGTACAGTACCGTATTCTGTAACAGCTGACTGTATCAGGACAAGGGGGTGTGGTGTAACCTGAGTATCAGGAGGGTACAGTACCAGTAGGGTACAGCATTCTGTAACAGCTGACTGTATCAGGACAGGGGTGTGGTGTACCAGTAGGGTACAGTACCGTGATTCTGTAACAGCTGACTGTATCAGGACAGGGGTGTGGTGTACCAGTGTACAGTACGTATTCTGTAACAATGACTGTATCAGGACAGGGGTGTGCAAGTGTACCAGTAGGATTACAGTAGCGTGACATTCTGTAACAGCCGACTGTATCAGGACAGGGTGTGTGGTGTATCAGTAGGGTACAGTACGTATTCTGTAACAGCTGACTGTATCAGGACAGGGTGTGTGGTGTGGTGTACCAGTAGGGTACAGTGTATTCTGTAACAGCTGACTGTATCAGGACAGGGTGTGGTAGGGTACAGCAATCGTGATTCAGTAACAGGTACTGTATCAGTACAGGGGTGTGGTGTACCAGTAGGGTATTCTGTAACAGCTGACTGTATCAGGACAGGGTGTGTGGTGTACCAGTAGGGTACAGCAATCGTGATTCTGTAACAGCTGACTGTATCAGGACAAGGGGTGTGGTGTACCAGTAGGGTACAGTACCGTATTCTGTAACAGCTGACTGTATCAGGACAGGGTGTGTGGTGTACCAGTAGGGTACAGTACCGTATTCTGTAACAGCTGACTGTATCAGGACAGGGTGTGTGGTGTATCAGTAGGGTACAGTACCGTATTCTGTAACAGCTGACTGTATCAGGACAAGGGTGTGGTGTACCAGTAGGGTACAGTACAGTAAATTGCATTCTGTAACAGCTGACTGTATCAGGACAGGGTGTGTGGTGTACCAGTAGGGTACAGTACCGTATTCTGTAACAGCTGACTGTATCAGGACAGTACCGTGGTGTGGTATAAAACAACAGCTGACTGTATCAGCTGGACAGGGGTGTGTGTGGTGTACCAGTAGGGTACAGTACCGTATTCTGTAACAGCTGACTGTATCAGGACAAGGGGTGTGGTGTACCAGTAGGGTACAGTACCGTATTCTGTAACAGCTGACTGTATCAGGACAGGGTGTGTGGTGTACCAGTAGGGAGTACAGTACCGATTCTGTAACAGCTGACTGTATCAGGACAGGGTGGTGGTGTACCAGTAGGGTACAGTACCGTATTCTGTAACAGCTGACTGTATCAGGACAGGGGTGTGGTGTACCAGTAGGGTACAGTACCGTATTCTGTAACAGCTGACTGTATCAGGACAGGGTGTGTGGTGTACCAGTAGGGTACAGTAATCGTATTCTGTAACAGCTGGCTGTATCAGGACAGGGTGTGTGGTGTACCAGTAGGGTACAGTACTGTATTCTGTAACAGCTGACTGTATCAGGACAGTGTGTGTGGTGTACCAGTAGGGTACAGTACCGTATTCTGTAACAGCTGACTGTTTCAGGACACTGTGTTAAGTGTACATGGAATGTGAAATGACAACAATTTTCTACAACAAAGCTCAGTGTCTTGTTGCTGTTCTTCTTACCTTTGGCACCTTGCGACCAGTCCCATCATGTCTGAAATACAGAAAGACAAATTTAGAATAAGGTCATTAGAGGTATAGAAATCCAAATTGTGTACATTTTGTTTTTGACACATTTCTTTTCTGAATGTTACAGTCTCAAGTCTTTATGAAAGGAAAGAGGTCTCACAATTCCTTGAGTCTAATTGTTCTTGGTCGACCGGAATGATTACACCACACAAACCATGTTTCATATTTAGCGTTCCAGATCTAATTTGTTCATGTGTTCAGTTAACGCAGAGTGACTGGTTGAGATTGTTTGATTGATGACTGCATAAGTTTCCTTGTCAGCTGGACACTAATTGAAACACTGCAAATAAGTAACAAAAATACAACTTTGATCTTTACTTGGTGAAAGTACATTTCAACCAACATGGGCAAAAAATCATTACACCATTTTGTAAAGCAATCAATATTTGAACACAGCAGATATCTGTTTTCTCTCAACCAAGCTCTGCAAAGTTTCAGTTGCAAGAAAAGAGTTTTTTTTGTCAAAATCATTTAGCCACGTTCCTTGATCTCTGCCAAAAGATACACCAAATCTAGATAAAGGAACAAGAGTAATAAGCTTTGAGGGCTTTCGGAAACTAATGATGTTTTTTCATTTTTTTTATTTCTAAGTTAATGATTCCAGAGGAATTGTATTTTAATGTGTTGCAATGCTAAACTCATCTGGTAGTCATGAGTGGATTATAATTAACCGGAGCTTAAGAAGTCTTTATCATGCAGGAGTTGTATATTTTACAATGATTCCTTGTCCTGAAACTTGTTTTCCTAACTTGCATGTATATTGATCTAAACTGATACATGGCCTCTTATTTATACATGGACTCAGCAAGCGACTCCCACAAAACATGCATGGACACTGACATCCAGGATCCCATCTGATACCGGATTATTATCAACCATTAAGGTAAAGAGTCACAAACATAGCATCATCAGGTCTGATTTTACACACATGTTCACATACTTTTTAAAGTATGTGTTTTGTAAAGTTGGGAATAGCTTGAAGGTTGGGAAGCACATCCTCCATACCATAATTCTTGTTATAGAAGTTTCAACATCAATATAGTCATGACAATATGTATTGGGAGTAAACTCTGGTAGACTTATGCAGGAGATCTCTACACTGTGCTGTTGCTAATTACTTCATTAGCTATGTTCAGCTGCTTGGAAATTCAGCCAAAGTGGCCTCTCAGAGCAGTTTTGTGAATCAATACTTCACTGTGAGCTATACACTGTGTTTGTTGATGCAACAACTCCACAGAAAGTCAAGTAAGCAAACATCATCAGCTTCTGTATTCACAAGAAGCTGACAAACTCCTTTGTGGTGAGATATATCATTGTGGTAAAAGCATTTACTCTTCAAGTCTAAAGCCAGATCCAATTCCCAAATGACTTCAATTCTTAAAGTCTGCTCCATATGTCACCTACTGCTAAAAGCAAAGGAAAATCTCACTCCAACACTCACAAGTTAATTAGGGTGACATGTATTCTGCTGAAGGTAAAACATTTGGTGAGGAACAAAACTCACAAACAAGTAAGAGTTGTCTCCCCAACCAAAACCTTACACTGACAGTGATCTTTCTTTCACTCTGTTTTAAACAGTGTTTTGATAATTTGCAGTGTGTGAGCTTGATGTAGACGGATGCCGCAAAGTGACACAGATTGTAGACATATTTTGTGAAATCCATCAGCTACAGTGCTGACATATATGGCCATGCTTTCAGAGGGAATCTAGGATCCGAAGCTGTTAGTACAGATTTCTATCAAGCCTAAAGGATACTACACATAACAATAACAGAGGCAACCAGGCCCACCATGACACCCACAAGTTATAACATCAATTGTTCATGAATATTTACGAACACAAAGTCACAGGTAAAAACAATAAAAGAATGACAACAGTCTTCTCGAGCCAACAGCCAACCCTACTGTTGACAAGCCCAGACAATTGTATTCACTGTCAAACATAGCCCTAATTACCAAGAAAACTACACAATCATTAAGAAGGCAATAACCACTTCTCCTATTCCCAAACAACCACAAACTTGTTGCCATAGAACTATCCAAGCATTCCCTAAGTTCTAATTATATCCTCGTAGGCTTACAACTTGTAAAGATACCATTCCATGGGCAGTCTCAGGAGCTATAGATTTGGAATCAGCAAGTATTGAAGAGGCCAACACTAATTACGGCCGAGTTAGGGTAAGGCCATAAGCAAACACAATGTCGTTCACCTAAGACATCCTGTAAATAGATTAAGATTTTATTATCGGACCTTGCTAGTATCTTACAGGATCGGAAGAATTAGTCAACATGCATCAAATTGAAACACCTACTCACATAGGTTGTGTCACCATCATCAAAAAGTTTCAACTCAAATAAATCGCTTTTCCTCAAAAAATGTTCGCATGTTTCCCCTGCACTGACTGAGATAACATTGAACATCATTGATGCAAATGTCGGCAGCCTTTCAGCAGCCAGTAGGTCAACATTGCCCATGTTCTGCAGGGAAAATCTTCATATCAATCGAATCTTTGATTCTTGAAGACACATATTGATGGATAAGAGAGTTTCATTTGAATAACTCATTGATGTCAGAGTGGAGAATACAATAGTTTCAAATTCCTAAAAATCTGATTCCTTAAATAAAGACTGCATGGTAAATGACTTTAGGTGCATGATTGAGAGATCTGAATCAGTGGTCCCTTCTGTGGATCTATAGACCCAGTCAGCCCTAGGGTTCCATTCTCCATGTGGATACTATGTATCATCTATTCTTCACAAAAATGTAAAATAGCAGTAACATTTCACACATCATAATTAGGAATGTTAAGAATTTGCTACATATTATGATTGTCCCGTATTAATAAACTATCAAAGACTTCCTGTTCTGCCTTGTCAGGTCTAGCAGATTAAGATAAGATAATATATTTACTGCAAAAACCATTCCATTATGGAATATAACCATAGAGTTAGTGCTGCAAGTCTGCCTGTGGAACCATACAGCTATTATTCACTCTGGGTACGACACACCTTGATGAACGAGCAGGTAAGACAACTCATTGATTAATGCATGTTACCAGGTACGCTGTATCGTACCACCGCAACTGAATCACATCGCGCTGTACGTCTCAACCAATCAGAGCCCACCTTTCACCACAATTGTCACTCTCCAATCAATAAAGGTTAATTTTTAAATATCAGCACAACAGGCCAACCACAGACTGAAACCTGACTCAATTAGAGCTCTGAGTGCATGTCAGGATGTCAAAATCTGACCCCAATATTTCACAATGGCCCACATACCAGGAGGTCCAGTGAATCCCCAAACTGCTCAATACCTCACTGAACACAAATAGAACTGAGAGGAAGACAGCCAGCATGAAATACATGAACGACCTCAACTGTGAGTCACTGGTATCAGACTACTCTGCTCATATCCCAGTCAAACCCACAATGAATAAAGTAACACTTACTCCAAACCTGACAAAATCAGGCCAGACATGTTTGTTCATAGATCACACTAAAGACAAGTCTATGTTAAATTCAACAGTCAACAAGCATTTTCCCCCATTCTATAAAAAGCCTGCATGTCTGTGAGGCTTCAGCTGACAGACTGACATATCCATCCCAGTTTGACATTTCTATGGATTCCCGGTAGTGACATTAGGTCAGCCGGCAGAGCTGCCATCATTCAGAGATATCAACATTCATCCTAAAACTCTACAACAGATTGTCTGTATTTTTCTTTTTTCAGAACACATTTTTTTGTACATAATGTTGGATGATTTCTCTATTCATTTTTAGACATTAGACTGAATGTCACAATGTCAAAAATTCCTCTTAACATGTTCTACTTTGTTTTGTCTGTTGATTGTTGGTTTGTTAGTAAGAAGGATACTTTGTGATTGGTGACTTCTTTAACATATTAAGATTCAACTTCTCATTTTACTCATCAACTTCTAAATGCCAATCAAACAGATCATGTTGGTTTGATGAAGAAAGTATCAGAATACAATAGTTTCAAATTCCAAAAATCTGATTCCTTAAATAAAGACTGCATGGTAAATGACTTTAGGTGCATGATTGAGAGATCTGAATCAGTGGTCCTTCTCTGTGGATCTATAGACCCAGTCAGCCCTAGGGTTCCATTCTCCATGTGGATACTATGTATCATCTATTCTTCACAAAAAATGTAAAATAGCAGTAACATATTTCACACATCATAATTAGGAATGTTAAGAATTTGCTACATATTATGATTGTCCCGCATTAATAAACTATCAAAGACTTCCTGTTCTGCCTTGTCAGGTCTAGCAGATTAAGATAAGATAATATATTTACTGCAAAAACCATTCCATTATGGAATATAACCATAGAGTTAGTGCTGCAAGTCTGCCTGTGGAACCATACAGCTATTATTCACTCTGGGTACGACACACCTTGATGAACGAGCAGGTAAGACAACTCATTGATTAATGCATGTTACCAGGTATGCTGTATCGTACCACCGCAACTGAATCACATCGCGCTGTATGTCTCAACCAATCAGAGCCCACCTTTCACCACAATTGTCACTCTCCAATCAATAAAGGTTAATTTTTAAATATCAGCACAACAGGCCAACCACAGACTGAAACCTGACTCAATTAGAGCTCTGAGTGCATGTCAGGATGTCAAAATCTGACCCCAATATTTCACAATGGCCCACATACCAGGAGGTCCAGTGAATCCCCAAACTGCTCAATACCTCACTGAACACAAATAGAACTGAGAGGAAGACAGCCAGCATGAAATACATGAACGACCTCAACTGTGAGTCACTGGTATCAGACTACTCTGCTCATATCCCAGTCAAACCCACAATGAATAAAGTAACACTTACTCCAAACCTGACAAAATCAGGCCAGACATGTTTGTTCATAGATCACACTAAAGACAAGTCTATGTTAAATTCAACAGTCAACAAGCATTTTCCCCCATTCTATA